CACCCAAAAAACCCCCCCCCCCCCCCAGTATTCTGCTGGGATTTCTTATCCCCCCATCAAACCAAAATGATTATCTCTAGGAGTCATTTTGATATGTTCCCACAGCTTTAAGCAACAGAACTCGAAACATAAAAATTACTGGACTTACAGGCAGTAAACATAACAGATAAAAAATACACTGCCACTACAGCAACAAAACCATACTAAAATATTTAAACAAAAAAATAACATAAGAACAACAGACTTTAGAAAGAAGGAAATGATAAACAGGAAGAGGGAAATTTGTGTTTATAAGAGGAGAGTCTGCAGACTTACCACCAAATGACCTGAAGTTGAAGTTATCTTCTGATGACTCAGTGTTTCCTAGCCTGCGATAATCGGCAATCTGTCTGTAGAGACGCTCTCGCAACTGACTTTCGTTGTAGTTGTCCATTGTGCCAAGGTCCAGTGTTACCAAACTGCTGAATCTTTCGCCAGTTTCCCTGATGAAATCAGAAGGAAAGACTCCATTACACGAAAGAATTCACACGGTGAGAAATACGTCGAATAGTACCAGAAAAATTTGATCATATCCAATGATGGAAACTATCTCTGTCTAAGGGACCTACCAGATAGACATCCACATCGTCTACCTTAACCTGAAGACAGAGACAGATCCGGCTTCCAAAATATGTGTTTTAGCAACTAACCAAGACGATGTGCAATGCCCAAAATAAGTCAACCTTACCACAGAATCTTCAAAAATAAATACGCTATGACAAGACTACAGTACAACATTGCAGAAGGTAACTTTATGCAACATTTCTCAGATCAAAATATTTTCATCTTATAAACCTTCACAATCGAACTACAACAGCTATTGAAACTTCTCTCTTTAGTCTCGACACTGAAATAATCTGACATTTACAGATAAAGTCTAACAGATGACAGAACGAATATAATCTGAGTCACTTTTACAATGTTATATATATTTTAGACTTTTCTCTCAGACATTTCTTTTACTGCATTGTAGAACACTGAAGAGCTCTGTAGAAGGAGTACAGTGTGTCTAGATATACTGGGATACAAGGAGTGAGGAACTTACAGATTATAACCTATTTTACGTCTGAAGATTAATTTCTGCCATTATCACTTCTTCTTCTTCTTTTTTTTTATTTTTAGTGTTCTGTCTGACGACAGGTCCATATGACCAGGATCCTTCCATCCTTTTCTCGGACTGGGATCTGTTCATATACGTTCTTGGCAGATGATCCCGAAGTGGTTTGCCATTGCCTTCTTCTGTGTGTGAATGGAGTAATTGTTGGGATGCCACGGAGAAACCGGGGAAGCCCCCGGAGGAAAACTCCGTGTTGCCTAGACCACGGCCTTGCCCAACACAAGTTATAAATTCGGGCACCGCCGGGAATCGAACCCGGGACCCCAGGATTACAAGGCTAGCGGTCTAACCGCTAGGCCACCGTGGCGGTTCACTTACAGCCAATGGGTTTTGACAGTGCAGGAAGAAATTTGGCGGTAGTCATTAAAAGAAAAGAAATTTCCAATGTTGCTTATAATAAGTAACCTATACAGTAGAAATGTACTCAGCTAAGCATGACAGAAAATGGGCAGTCAGAAGTCTTATCGCAGTACAAAAATTCCTATCATAACATGTCGGTGGACCTCTCGGTAATTAATAGTACAAAAGAACAGATGGTACCATTGTCTCACTTTGCATTATTGAATGTCTAAGCTCGCATTCATTCTCTTACATTAAACCTCTCCAATGTCTGCATCCTGCGAACTACTTACTGAATCTGGATGACTGTAGCGGACTGCCGACCAGGCACGTTTTCATACAGAGCATTGACAGCCTGGGACAGGTCCTGTGATAGTTGCTGGAAAGCTTCACTGTTCCTGTCATAGTACTCGACTCGGAATGGTTCCAGAATCGTGAAGGTGATGCGATAAAACCCTGCAACACAGTGTTACAAAGGTATAGGCAGAGATCTGTAACGTAGTGGTACTCCTGACTCTAGTTAAGCCAGTTTTAGGTACCAGAGGACCCTCCTTCTCAAAGAAAATTACGTCAGTATAGCCAGTGTAACCTAAAAGCAAAGGAAATGAGGCCTACTCGAAGCTTAGAATATAACACACCCAAAAAAAAACCACACACACACAACAACAACAACACACACAGACAATAAAAAATTCGCTACCATCAAATTCCCTGATTTATATAACTTTAATTTTTCACTCAATTTTGCATTGAAAATTTTTATCATTAAACGGTAATTACGATGATATAGGCATATTAATTTCAACCTAGTACTGTGTGGATTTTTTATTTTTAGGGTGGTACTTGTGTTCTAAAGGTTCATCTATCTCCAGACACAGACATGACATGAAATGTTTCTTTCATCTGCAAATTGAATCTTACCTCATCTTTATTCGTAACTTATATTTCACAATCATCCTGCCATTTAATTTTGAATTCACAGTGTCCTTACATAAAGAACGACGCAATTAAACAAAGTATGATATTACCTAAGAATCAAACACACAAACAAATGCAACCTATGGAGTTCACAGCGTCTTTATGACAAGGAAAGAAAATTCCAAATGGTCTTTGAATTCTGTTCTACATCCCAAAAACTTCAGTGACCTGGTCCGTGGCTCAAGAATGCAGACCATGACGAAAATGAATTTATATCTCATGATGCGACTTTGAATGGCGCATCTTTGAAAAACCTCTTCTGGAGCCCTCAACGGCTTTGATCAACCCCTACAGAACTTGGTACAGAACTTACTTGGCTGTCGGTCTGATGATGGAGTTGCTAATGTTGGCAGTATGGTCCTGCTTTCCATACCAGATCCTGAAGCAGCCTCGCTGATGTAATCCTCGTCATCAGAGTTGAGATGCTGTAACTTGCCGGGTTTGCGCGCCACAACAGTTGTCTCCTCGTCTGTCTCAGTGTTCTCCTGACTCTCAGGCTGGTCCGTTATGTTCTCCTCGTCAGCGTCTTCCACATCGTCCAGGGTTACCTCACCATTAATGTTGTCGAAGGATGTGCTTCTTTTGTTTCGGTACTTGTCGTCCTGGGGTGTTGTCAACTTCAGAATTTCTACGTTCTCTGACTCACTTTCTGCTGAATGACTTTGAGGTTTGTCGTTTGTTCCGCCAGAACTTCCAAAGATTCCAAGAAAGTTCGAGGAATCAAATATACTTGTGCTTTCCGTTGGAGACGAGGGTTTTTCTGAATCCTCTCCTCCTCCAAAAAAGTCTGGAAACCACTGCCTCTTGGCACGTCTGCCAAACTCACTAATTTTACCAAAGAAGCTACTGTCGACGTCTTCACTACTGTCAGGTTTTGGTTCTTCTGGGTCTTCTAAAGGAATTTCTACAGGTGCCACAAGTTGCTGGTCGCTGTTGGAAGCTCCGTGATTAGATTTTGTGCTCTGGAAGTGTTGAGAGGTGTTCGAGTATTGTCTTGCATTGCTACTAGTCTTACGGTATTCGTAGTCATTACTCGCTGTACCATCGTCAAACACCAAATCGCTATCAATCTGAAAAAAAAAATACAAAAAATAAATATAAATTACACAGAAACCATGGTTTTTTACGATTCGACACAATCATCGATAATAGCTTAGGGTCCATTTGTTCAAGTAAACACTGGAAACTTTTCCTGTACGGAAATCTGCCGAAGCATAAAGCTGATCTTTCACCTCAAACTAGCGCTGACGTCCAGAACGACTTGAGCTTCCTTCAGATGGAAATATGACTGCCTTGGTGGCTGCTCCAGTCTGCACACAGACTGGACCACTGCCAGTAAAGTTATATTTGTGATGACGTTTAATATATTACGCTGTATACCGGATTACTGTGAGTAACTTGAAGGGTTTCAGAAGCAGCACTTTTAAGTTATTAGGCCCACAAAGAAACAAACCAAGATATACCACAGTGAGAAAAACATGTCTCCTGCAGAACACAAAATGCTACCGATAAAAATAACTTACGATAATAGGTCCATGTAGTGTATTAATAATTCAGTACTATCTAATATTTCCAATGGGAAATTAGTTCTATATATAACACAGTGTTCACATTCTGGCGGAGTGAGAACCTGTGAACCGTTTATTATGAAGTGTACGAGGAATATTAATGATTAATGATTAACAGATAATTCTGTTTTATGCTTTCGGTACGAAAAGTCTTATAGGATGATGATGATATATTTATTTATTCGAATACCTGTGTTCTCATTAATAATTCGTCATTGTTGAACTTTGGCTTTATCGGATAAACGTGAAATGGGAGTTCCCAATCTATGCTTAGTTTTTCAAAGTGGTTTCTTCTCTTCAGAAGTTCCAATCAAAATACTGTACGCATTAAACATGCCCCATACGTTCTGTTCCATCCAGCTTTCTCCAAATTTCATATAACTTTAATGTTTGTTAAAGCAGACATTATGAACCTCGATTTCTGTCTTCGGGGTTGTTCAATATTCATCGCCCTGATGACGGAGGCAGTATGACCTCTGAAACGTTGGT